ATTGCTCCCTTAATTATGTATATCTTTTCCTTAACAAACCTTAAAAAAAGATTTCAGATGTTACAAGTCTAATTAAAGAGACAGACAAAGCACAGTTTATACTGTAGATTTTTTCTGCAGTTCAATTAATCAGCATGTTTTCTCTTTTAATTAAAACCATTTTAGTAAATTAAAGCCCACAGCAAAACACATATATAATTTGTTTGTAATTAGCTCTTAATTGGTGGTAGTTGAAGCTTAGCACCCTTGGTTTCTTTCTTCATGATTGCCATTTTATTAGCAGCCAGTCATTAATTAATCTTTTTTTCTAATTAGCTTATAAAACTGTTGATGGCACATTATTGTAAATGTGATTTTAAGTTCAAAGCTTGTTAATAAGCTTTCTTACTTAGAAGAACAGAGATAAAGAAATTGCTGAAAACAGTACTACAGTTCTTTTTTTAAAACTGCCTTTCTTATAAGGGGGCTGTGTAAAGCATCTAACGGCTTATAGTCAATTTTTTAATGCTGTGTTTTCTCATGAATGGAAGAAGTTACTTGCATTTAAATGTTTAAATCTAGGAAAGAGCTTAATATTAGAACAGTTTTCTGTCCTTGCTACATTACTGTGTCATCCAAATATAATTTGATGTTGTAATACACAGCATAAAAATATAACAAAGGTATTACAAAGTATTTTACAGTAGAAGTTCAGCACATCATTGAAAGGGGACAATTTTCACTGCAAAATCCACTCTGTATTCTTGTTTGCTTTATATATTTTATATACGTCAGCAGTGGATAACATTCCATAACATAAAAGGAGAAAATCATTGCTAAAGGCAAGCCTGAAATAACTAGATTCATATTTGATGAGAAACTGTAACACTGTATTAAAAGGCTGTTTGGCTTCTCTGGTATGATCATAGGGTATTTCAGGACCTGTTTGAATATAGATGTTTTGTTAGAGCTTCTGTAGGTTTAGCATTTCGTATATCATACCTAAATATTTCTGGAGCAGTTCTTGAATCTGTTGTCTCATTACTTGTATCGTTCAGCGTTTACATTGCACAGGGCTGTCTTAATGAAAAGTCTTTGCTGTGTGATATTTAATGCTAAATGTCTTGATTGTCAAGGAAGTTTTCTGGAAGTTACAGTAGATTCTGTTGCAACTTAATAAAAATGTTTTCTCTTCTGCCTGAACTTTACATACTATTTCAACTTGAGCCATTTCTTTGCTTGTTTTGAAAGTGTTTTATGATGCTGTGCAAGAAACACTAGAAAGGGATAGCTGACAAGGAAAAAATTAAAAATTGGATAAAAAGTAAATGAATAATGTCATATTACTAAAAAGATGAGAGGCTAATTTGTGCCGACTTTTTGCTAATTTTGTTCAAGCCTCAAAATGAGGAGCTGTCACCCGTTCTGTGTAGCACTGATGACAGTGCCAATGATCCATGAAATAAGCTGCCGCTGGCTTTGTTCTGATAAGAATGAACAAATCTGCACAATGTACGGCTCCCAGAATCTCATTTTCATACTTGCATGCAGGCTAAAAGAAATAAGCTGTTTGCAGGCTTGATTAATCAGACATTTGAGGGTTTTTTGTCTCTTTGATCTCTTTCGTCTCCTAGGTAACTTGCTTGACATTAATGTTGAGCTTGAGTAAAGACAATCAGGAATTGTAGACCAAACTGATATAAAAATTAAAGACCTTAACACTTTAAGTACTCCAGTAATGGTTCCGCTTTACTTCAGAAAACATCTGTTTTCATTTAATTAAAGAACAAAAGAGAATGGCATAAATATTTTTCATAGAGACCTGTTATTCCATAAAAAGTTAAAATATGATAATCGGTATTTTTAAATAAATGCCTTGAAATTGTTCAAAAAGAAGCAAAGCTTCAGAAATTTGTTACAAGGTAACAATTTCAGATGAGCAGAAAATTTATGAAAAATAATGGATAAGGAATTTTCATTTATGCTACATTAAACATCTAGAGTAAGATACTTGACATGATTATTGGTCAACTTCAAAATGGAAAGGTCTTTGCCCTGTAGAAACTAAGTTGTTTTTTAAGTTTGTCTTAAAAATATATATATTGTGTTACAAGGATGAACCATTATATCAGCTTTACTACCCAATATGATTTACACACTTTAAACCTGTAAAATTGAAAGGAATTTAAAAAAAAAAAATGTCGCAGTGCGTTTGCTTGAGGTTATGCAGACGCTTTTACAAATCTTCCAAGTGGCTGTAAAGATGAATGCCTCAAGGGTCTAGCCAGGGCCCTGCTTTTCCAACCAGCTAAAGCCCTTATCTTAAATCCAAGCAAAGTACCATTAATCTTTTTGAAAGACCTTTTATGGCTTTTAATATATCCCAAATTAGAACATTTTACACCCTTGGTTCCTGAAATATGGTGATAAAAAGCCTTTAGAGCTTAATTTTCCTTACTGCGTGCTCTGACCAATTTGCAGTTCTTTGTGATAATGTTTAGACACCTTAATTAAAATGCAGCAAAATATTGGATGTTCTATATGGAAAATGCTGATACTTTGACTACACAAGAAATTGTTGGATATATTCATGCTTTCTTACTTCTTTTAAGAATGTATTTTATTGAGTTATCTGATGACCTGAAACGGTGTGTGTTTGGGTTTTTTTGGTTTTGTTTTTTTATTTAATGTAAACCCATAGATTTCTTTGGGCGGAGGAGCGGGGGAGTGGAGATGTGTGTCTGGGTGTGGGTGGGAGCAGAAGATGTTTAATCTGACTAAAATATGTGTGTGTGTTTATATGCAACATACTTGTTTGCATGTCTTAAAAATTTGAGTCTATGTAGCCTGGAATTGATAATGTTGCACAATGTTTCTCCTTTTATTACCACATACACTACAGAGGATCTTATTATACCATTTTTTCCATACTTTTCAAGGATGGAAGAACTCAATCTGTCTTCCAAGAAACACACATCAAAAGATTTTTGTGCAGCACTTGTGTATAGCTTGTGTGTATGTGTATAAGTGCTCAAATAGGCCACTAGAATATATTTTAAGGAGATGCTGTTATTTGTCACATAGTAAGAGTTAATGTTCAAGTATGTTAGGAGATAAAATACAGTTTAAAAATAAAGTCATGGTTCTGCTGACTGCCTGACTTCAGCCATCAGATTGCTGTATTCTTTTAAGCTAATAATTAGGCCTATTTCAATTAACAAGTAAACATTTTTTGAATACTTTGGTGAATTTTCTCAAGCATTTTTATACTGCAAGTATCCATGCAAATAGGTGAATGTTATGTTCTAGTCTTTGACTTGGGATTTGGCAGTTCAGATGTTGGCACTGAATTACTGATTATATAAAATGTTAATGCTCAGGGGAAAAATGATGTAGTTAATAATACAAAAGTTTTGAAATGTCTTGTCACATGAATTATTTTGTGCATCAAAATGATTCCATAGGTACATATTGATGACCTTGTAACACATGCAAATAGTAGGTTAAAAACTCATTTAGCATTACTTTGCACATTTTCCTTTTAAAATATTATGCTTACCTCTCAACTGTTTGTGTTGCCAGTGTTTAGAGTTTCAAACAAAGCACAAACTGGTGTTGTGCTTGCTGCTTACATGCATGTAGGCTCTCAAAGCCTTCTGCAGAAAAGCTGCTTTCTTGATTCTTAAACCCTAACAGGACCATAAGGTAGAATACCTTGTAGTGATGCTGTTCTGTTTCACTTTGCTAACAAAATGATCAGGGTATCAACCTACATACGGTGTGGGTGTTTGATGGGAGAGTTGTAGATGCGCATCTATACCCAAAGATGTGTTTTTTGAGTTTTCTCTCATATGGATAACACATCTCTCAGTAAACAAGAATTTCAGAATTTCATCATTATAGATGCTGCAGATTATTGACGTGTTCCATTAATAATGGAACTTTAACCAAAGTCTTAGTGTTCTCTCACTTGGGTTTCCCATGCCTCTCTTGTTTGATGCTCCCATGACCTTTGGGGGAAATTTAGAATATCCAGTCAGAAAGATGTTAGCTAACTTTAGTAGGTTTGGACTGGATAGGAAGAAAACCTGTTTGTCCGCATCACAGTTTGTAGCAGTCTAGGCTAAACGAATTGCTTGTTTGTCTTGCAGAAAAGCAGTAACTTTTAAGATCAAATTCTTCCATAATTCATAATTTAGTTGCAGATAATGTCAAGTCATGACAGCAATCACAAAATGTAACTACGGTGAACAAGTTATGAATGCTGATTAAGGAAAATAATCTGGTCATAGTTCACAGTACCTTCTTCCATCATCTTTGCTTTATTCTTTTTCCCTACCTTGACATTCACTAAAGTGAACTTAATTTTCACAGTGTGAATAAGTTTATGAAAGTAAAGTAGTATTCACCTACAGCCTATTATGACCTTACTTGAAAAGCATGCATATTATCGCTCTAATAATCTAAAAGCTGGTAATGTGAAGACTAAATGCCAGATGGACTCTAAGGACACTGCTTCATTTACGTTCTGGACAGACTGATAAAAACATGACTGCTGGTGCTACTGGAAGATGTGTAGTAGTAGCAGTTTTTCCTGTATAAAAACGTCTTTTTGGGTGGTTTTCGTATTGGCAAGACCTGATACTATTATGTTAGCACAGCTGAGGTCACAGACTGGTCTTAATAATGGAGACTCTGTGTGGTATCTATGTCTATATATTTATTAAAACAAACAAACAAAAGGATCTAGTGGGCTGTTGCCTCTTGCTTTTATTCTTGAAAATGAAGGATTTGGTGAAAAGGATTGCTTGCCCCAGGATCCCACTCCTCTGTATTCCTCTCAAGAGACATTCTTGCTTGCCTGATCTAATAGTACAAGCATCAGCCTAATATTTGAAAGGTATTAAAGTATTTATTGACTTTTGAGAAACAATATCGGACCAAGTAATTTGTGAGGCTTAAATTTCATATGAGCCATTTGCATCTATTCAGTTTTCCTTTTGTTCCTTTTTATGTCTTAGTTTGGTGTGAAAATTGCCAAAGCTGCTGCTTGCCGCAACTTTGTGAAAGCCAAGCAAGAAGCAGAGGCTGCCCAAGAAGCTCGAAAGAAAAAGAAGCTTGCTTGGGGGTAAGTCATTTGAGTATGGAATTAAACATTTGTGGTTTCATTGGCACTAAGTGCATACAATAGAATCTCAGTTAAATGTTTTCGTAGTTGAAATAGGCTTGTGCTAATCTTATTTGTTTAGTTTAACCTTGTTGGGGTTTGGGGGGTGTGTGTGGTTTTTTTTAGTATCGGACTTATGTACACAGGCTTTGCCAGAATGAATGTATTGGTTATATGGCTACATTTGCGTTCATGTCTTTATTACAGTATTAAAAATAAGCTTTTATTTTTGTTGGGTTTTGGAATAGTATGGTTGAATACCTGAAACACATATGCTCATGATTCCCAATGTGGTTTTTGTGCTCTATTTCAGATTTGAAGCCAAGAAAAGATGGGAAACAAAAAGCAACATGGGATACATGTAATCCATCCTATTTTCCTCACGAGTCAAATAGCTGGTTTTACCTGAAGAATCTTTGTGGGTGACTTCTTAAACCTAAACACAAAAAAAACCCCAACACATCAAATTCATTGTGTTTCTCTTAATGCTGTTAGACTGCAGTGTCTTGTTTTGGTGCTCTTACAGTGTAGAAAAAATACTTTCTAAACATCAATGCTATGTTAAATATAGTATTTTTCTCCAAAATATGAAAGTCTAACACAATGCATTGTAGAATACATTTGGAGTCTGGTAGAGAACTTTCTAAAATTGGAATAAAATACTTGGTCCAACTGTGTTCTGTGCTGCACTGCAGTTAAACGCATGGGTGTAAGGAGAGGCATACTTTTTCCTGCTAAGGTTATACAGACTTAATGCAGTAAGTACTACTTCTCTGACTGTTTGAAAGGTTGGGGGGGCACTAAATAAAGAAAAGCAAAACAACCCTACCTGTTTAAAACCATTATTATTTATGGGCTTCATAAATATAAGCAGAAAAAAAGGGCTGAAAAAGTCCATCCTCCATCTCCTACGAGGATCTGGTACTATTCATCATGTCCTGGTGCCATGTTCTTCAGAATATTTCAAATTCCTATTTTCCTTCTCAAGAACCAAAGTTCTGAAAGTCCCAGTTTCTGTGAGCAGATGAAGTGTAGAAATACATATATTGAAATATATCTGAAATATGTTGTGCAGTTAGCTGCGCCCAAGAAACAAATGCAGATTTTACTCCAAGTCAAATGTTTTATAGATCAATTAGGTTTTGAATATTTATGTTATAAGATTATAACAGGAATTGATGATAATGTTTCTTCAAAATTGTTCTTAGTGAAAAGTAAGGACACATTCAGAACTAATAACTTTTTTCCCTGAAGCTCTTGCATATGTGTTTAGTCACCACAATGCCTGAATTGAATTGGTAATGTATATGTCAGTTATTGTTAACCAAGATTAATATGTTTCAGGCCAAAGGTATGGTATTAGCGTAATGGTGATTTAGTGTGTAAGTACTTGAGGCTAAAACAACTTGCCAACAAATAGCAATTTGAAGTTTTACGGCACCAACTTAAAGAGTTTAGGTTTGCAGTCCAACATGGAATAGTGCATTTTTGTTCATTAGCCCTCAGGATGTTTGATTCTTTTTCTCTTTTTAGCAGAACATCGTATTTCTTTCACAAAGATGTGAGTTTGCAATATGGTAATCTGCAGTTAGCTGTAATTAGTTACGATGACAGAGTTGAATACAATTGCCAGGATTGTAAATCAGGGGCTAAACAGGTTTCTGCAGTATAACATCATAAATCTCGCACTATGGTTTACAAACTACATTGTCTTTAGAAACTTTGGTGTGGAAGGAAGCAAATGATACCTCTTTGATTATAAAGGTAAATTCCATGTTTACTTGTATAAACAAACAGGTTACACAATGAACCTTCATCAAGATTTTTCTCAGTTCCAAATGTGTGTGTCTAAACCTTGCAGGCACTCTGTCCCTAATTTCTGTTACTTCTTTTTAAGCAGCTGGCAGATGAGTGTTAGATACAGTTGGCCTTTCTGCTTGCTATATACTGAAAACCAGAATGATGCTGATAATTTTGTGCTGAAAACATCAGCAATGTTCCATTTAAACATTTAAAAGTAGTGTATATTAAACAGATACTATACCTTTTTTTTAATAGTTGCTCTTAATGGTGATAGTATTTATTAGTCAAAGATCTCTGCCTCATTATAAGGATCAGTGCAGTTTGATACGAAAGAGTGCTTTAAATGAAATCCAAACCCTCAAAACCCAGCTATTGTCTGAGATCCTGCCAGCCCGCATTTGTCACACAGTGCGTACCCAGCCACCTGTAATACTTTTCACTTAAAATAACCAATTAGTTTTATGTTAGGCCATTAATAATGTAACTATTTAGGAAGTATGCAGAATATTGCATTGGGTTACTTGTGCAATGAATTTTAAAATGATCACATTTCAAGTATTTTGATCTACCTAAAGTATTTGCTTAGAATATGTAAATTCCCAGAATTATACTATGTTCAAAAAAACCCTGATTAACAGGGAAAATACAAAAGCCTAATACAGCTTTATAGAGATCATCTGAATACCTAATAAATAAATGAATGCAGAACTGTACCTTTAATAAACATCCTCCTAAATTGCTGACCTGATTCTAAGATGTCTTGCATGTTTGACACTTTTTTGTAAAGTAGTTTTTCTGTGATGTGAATTTTGGCCAAACAAGTAAAACTGTGTTTTGAGATTTAACTTTTCCTGTTTTCTAGCAGTGTTAAAACAATCCAGATGCTTGTTTCAGTTAACTGAAACCTTTTTAATCAGCTTAAACATATAATCTCTTACACTGAACTAAATTTGAGATGTAATAATTCTTTTAGTAAATGAAAAGTTTGCACTATCTCCTTATCTGACTCAAATTAAGTATGTAGAGGAATGTATATTAATTTCAGTACAAATTTGGCTTCACAACAGATACTTACTAGGATCTCATCTGATATCTTGAGTTGGGCAACAGTTTAAAGGCAGCCTTGCCTAAGCTACTTCCTACCCTTCAGAAGCCTTGAAGAACCTAAATGCATGCACTAATTTTGCCCCCATTTTTTCTCCACCACAATTTCGTATTTCTTCCAGCTGTAACCATGGTACTCTCTTGGGTATCCTGAGTAGTCTTATGTCATTTGAGGAAAATTCTTGTAGCTTCCCAAGTGCACTTCTCTGGACTAAACGGAAAAACTAACTTTGAAAAGGGGAATGTCCTCTCACAATTACCCATTGTTCTTGAGCTGCCTGGCCTGATCAAAGCCAGCTCTACTACATGCCAAACCTTGCCAGTAAGGCCTCTTAACCAAGTCTTATTACTCAGGTACTACAAGAGAGTGAGGTGGGTAGTTTGCTTTTGGTTTACCATAGACTCAGTGGATGTCAAGTTGATGGCTCTGTGTGTTGTTCTACTAAGCAGTGTAGACACTCCTGCCGTACGCTTCTCACTCGCGTGGGTATTGTACTTTTTAATTTCTCCTCCCATCTGGGGATAGTCCAGACCCATATTCTTGCAGTTCTATTGTGTTCTAAGGCCTACACAATCAAGAAATAAATTGTTCATCAACTCCTGTGATAAAATACAGCCAGTTTGAAGTTTGACAACAGCATACTAATACAAGTACTAGTATTTCTTAATACTGCATTCCTGAGCTCCTAAACCAAAGAGTGGCTGCAGGGACAGTTTGACAGATAAAAACATATATATAGTTGTTAGAGTTTTAATAGTTTTTTGCCTGCAACCATAATCTGTATTTTTTTTTTAGTTTAATTCTGTTGGCCAAGTTTCAAAGATAAATGTGGTGTGTAATAAGCCTTTGCAACCTCTAATTTGTGAAGGAGTGTCCGTCCAGTTAATACTTGCTCATTGAAGCAAGGGGTTTTGAAATAGCTGAAGTACGAACTGTAATTACTGATGTCTGTTTCCTATTCACCTATGGTTTCTGGCATTTGATCAAAAAATGTAATGTATTGCTTAATCTCATAGCATTCCCCACTTGCAAAAATATTTACTTCATGAGAATTGTACAGTACTAAATGACCTCAGCAAAACCAGAGTAGATTTTTATTTGGTATTGCTCCACTAACGTGTATTTTTCCTGTTATTTTTGAATGTTAATAATTTAGATATGCATGTATATATAATGTATGTCTACTGTAAGCTCAAAGCATTTAAAAAGTATAAAATATATTAATAATAAGGAGGGGGTTTTACTTCACAAGTGGGGTGGCTAAAAAGAAGAATAAAAAGGTTGAGCAATTTATGTGAGGATAAACTGCAAGCTGGTAGCGAAGTGGTGAATGGAATCTGGTTTATATGCAGTTTGTCATAGCTGGAAATAACATGGAGAAAGAAGTCCTGAACCGATGTGAGGCAGGTGCCTAAATCTCTTTGAAAGCCTTTGGGAATTGGGTGCCTTTGTTACCATCTATCCTACTGAGAGGGTAAAAAAAATGGGATATTGAATGCAGATGTTCTAAGCATCGCAAGAGTAAGTGGAAGCCCTAATTTCATTTGAGAAAAGTCGTCATCTTTCTTGTTGAAAAATGCCTGCATTGCTTTGATCTGCCTCCAGCTGCATTTATTATACCATCAAATCTTGTCTTCCTGGTTTCCTTGGGACTGTGTGTTACAGAGTTGAGAGTTTTTCTATTTCTTTGCTTAGAATCAGACCTGGAATATAACATTTTCTCCTCCAAAGCATATGAGTTGGATATTAAGAAACACAAACAGCCAATTTTGTATATAAAAATGAGCTCTACAGGTTTTGCACATGATGGTTCTTAGCATGCTCATTCTTTCATTACGGTCATAAATATGATGAGCACCGTCTGAGGAAGGAGGAAGCTATTTGCAGTGAACAGACAGCATCATGCCAAGATGTTGGTTGAGTTCCAAATCAGAGAGGCATGTCAGTTACTGAATCATCATCCTAACTTAAATAGTACATTCATTTGTCTTGGAGCTTCCCAGGTATGCTGACTGTTTATGACCACAGACTGAAATGACCAGTTGTATTTCTGTATCACATGTCTCAATGGCTCAATGCCTTTCGCAGCTTCTGCTGTAACTGAGTGCAACTCGTGATGTAAGAGAAAAGATAGATCGGGAAATAAGGCTTTTTACCCAAATGAGAACCGACTGCTTTCTGACAGCCAAAGAGTGAGTTCATCCTTTTTGGCAACCTATCTGAAATGGCCAATGCATTCATATACCCCAAACAGCAAACACAGATACCGAGTGAAGTGTAATGCTGAATGCAGTATCTCATAGCTAGATGGTATTTATAGTGTTTTAAGGCTTTCTATGTAGATAATTGGTTGCTGACCTTGTAGGATTTTCCTTAATAGTGAAATGCTAGTTGGCCTCTACCAGTAGAGGTGATCAATTCCAAACTGGTAGCGCCCTGGATTTACCAGAACTGCTCAATGAGACAATGAAAAATAATCTGCATCTTCTCTAATGACTGTGATGATTCTGTGAAAAATGATCTGCATCTGTGATGAAAAAAGTCACGTTCTCTTGTGAACTGAAATGATTCCCAACATAACCAGGGACCCTCAGGACTATTTTTTTTAACATTGATTCCTCTTCTGTAAAATTTATAAAAATACTTAGAATATAATTGTGGAAAAGTTATTTCACGAGCTCCCCAAACTACGCTTTCTGTAATAGCATAGGTTTCTAAGAAAGCCCTAAATAAACCTAGGTGTAATGCATTAGTATAAGCTGTAAACACCCAAAGAATATTGGAGGGTTGACGCGTTGCATGATTCGGCTTCTAATTACCATCAAAGAGTGTAGCGTGGAGCTTTTATTTTTCCCAGAGTTAATGAAGAGAGCATTGAGAGCAGCCTGCTAGCAAGAGCTGTCCTGTTATCTGCTGAAGGAGTACACAAGCTGCAAAGGGGGAGAGTCAGCCAAATGGGCATTTCCAATTTGAACACTTTTCTCTTTATAGAAATATGTTTATAAAATGTCTTCCACTCTCACCATAGCAGTGCCAATGGCCTTTCCCATAGAAATACAGACATCACAGAATATTCTTTGTTAAGAATTATTTCCTTTGCTTCTCTCGCTATGGTTTTTTTGTTTATTCTAACAAACAACATTTTAAAATAAGCTTTGCTTTAGGTCACTTTCATTTTTAAAGAACAGCTCGGAGAAGGGATTTGGGTGCACTTTGTCAAGCAACAGCATGCTTTTCCAAGCTCTGCGGGGCTGCCGTTTCATGTTGTACCTTCAGCAGGCTTTTTGAAGATCTGTGTGTGTCCCATCTCACACCCTGGAGCAAGCTGCTGGCCATTGGGGTCAGGACTTCAGGTTACCCATTTCTGCTGTGTTCCAGTTTCTTCTTCCTAAAGGAAAAAGTGGCTTATTTTTAAAGCAGTTTTCCTTTCAATGATCCAGCTTAGAGTGCGGCTCCACAAACAGTTCCACAAGGTTAATTGGGGGAGTGACAGAATGGGGCAGGGAGCAGAAGGGAAGATGAGGTTCCTACAGAAGAGGAAAGAGGGAGGGAGGGAATGAACCTCCTACACTGGCGTTATCTCGGGCTGTGCTGCACTCAAGGGCCCCGTGCTTAGTTTTAGTCTGACAGCATTCCCATTGGAATCAACCTTCATTGATTTTGATAGCTGATGATAATGCTGGGCATTGTTGTTGCTAAATATAATTATGGATTTGAAGCACAGAATTATTTGATGTAATTAATTTTCTTTTTTCTGATTCATTCAAAAAGCCCATGCTCTAAGAATATACTGCCAGACTCTTTCATCATGAAAGTGGCACAATTTAGCTACAGACTAATCTCTGGGGATCATATTCTGCTGCCCTGAATCAGGAGGAGCCTTTACTCCAAAACTGGTTGCACTGGAATAAATAAGGGTGACAAAATTTGCATGAAAACAAATTAGACTGGAGATGTGGACCTGCATTTGCTAAGGGGTATGGATGTTGTCTCCTATTTCAATGCTGAGTAGAGAAGAATGTATAAACCTTTAAACTCTGAAGGCAACTCTTAGGTGGAGAAAATGAACCAGGCATTGCTGTGTTTGGTGCTGCTCAACATAATCTAGCACTCAAATGCTAATGCTGGTTAACTGCCTTGCAGGTGCCTTGAGCTCTGTTCTTTTACATTAATCTTCATTGGTCCTAGCATCTGCTTGTTGCCAGGGTTCTGTCAGATATTTACAGATCCTCAAAATGTGATTCCTAGTGGATTTAATGGGCTTCATCAAAAGATCTGGGCCTTCCCTCTGAGGTTTCTGGAATATTTGCTTTCTCACACTCTTGAGTAAGGTGAAATGGAACAGGTTGTGTGGAGGAGTTTTTAACTAAGAGCCATAAGGGAGCATTGTCAGATGCCCAGGTTTCAGACCCTACTTCTTTAATGCAAGGTGTATTGGAGCTGGGAAAAAAAGAAACATCAGGAAAGGAATTGAGAGCAGAAGAGGCTGGAGGACCAGAGATGAAGGAAGGCAAATGGTTGGTGGAAACTTTTCCAGCTCTACTGATGTCAATGGTGAGATAGTTTGTCGATTAAAAACCAGATGCTTGGTTTACACAGGTTGAGAGTGCATGACTTGCTGTTATTTAGGTACAGGAAGATGCTAAACAATTCATTCAAGGCCTCCTGGATGTTGTTTATATTTCAGCATGTGAGCTCTGTAAAATTCAACACAACTGCTGCTGTAACAACAAAAAAGACCTTCCCAGAAATGTTTTTTGTACTGTTCAGTGAGAGCTTGATCACAGCTGGCATGTCGCTTTCATTACCCTCACACAAGAACCAGCTGCCTGCTACCGGAGGTGTACCAGTCACCATCGCTAAGGCTGCTGGTAAGAGGTGCAGTAACCAGCAAATAGCCCACGTACAACACATTTTTGGTGCCAGTTGGGAATGCGCACACCTTCATCGGCAGAGTTCCATAGTTCAGGAGGAAGTTCATGGATTATACAAATTGATCAACTCATCAGTTAGTGTAATCTAGTGAGAATGTTCCTGTAATCCTGAATGTCTTCTGAAAGTGTCTCCCCATGGTCATGCGATGTAGAAAATATAGCTATAGCGTAACCTCTGCTTGTCATATCTGAGCTCCCTCTGGTGTGGACAGAATGTGTACTGCTTGCACAGATGTGAATAAAATACTACTTGAGTAGCAATTTTACTCTCGTTGCCCCTTAAGTCAAATGCTGTTCATTTCTATCGCACTGACCCTGCATGCAGCTCAGAGTGCGGACTGCTGACTCACAAGGGCCCAAATATTAGGGTAAATAAACTTACTTTTTAACCCAGTAAGAGCACAGGCAGGTTAGGAAGGTTGGCCATAGCCACGGAGAATATGACTCACAGGATACAGAGACCGGATCTCACATTAATCATAACCAAGCACAGGCAACCTGACATTTGACTTTTATACAGTGAGAACCTGGCAGCAACCCTTGTGATTCACAAGTAATCTTTTACAAACACCTATTTTCCACTGCTCATAACCCTTAGGTCTTACATATTTTGCCCTCATCTCCCTTGACTTAATTATTGTCAGAAGTAAATGTTAACTAGAAATTTATGAGCCATAATCGTATCTACGATGCAAATTTTTGTTGAAATAGGTTTTCAGGAATAATTGTTAGAAATTCGCAATTCTTCCCATGTTAGTTATTTGTTGTGAAATTCATCCATTTTGATGGCATATCAAGAGCTGTATAATCCTTGTTGCACTAATTTGGTAGTGCAATGTACCAGAGACAAAAGATTTTCTGTACCAAGACTTAACAGAAGCGTTGTCTGAAATCTTTTATATAGCCCACCGCTTCAGATTTGGCATAATGGCACTGCAAATGTTAATGTACCTCAGTTGATACTTAGAGCGCTGCTCAGCAATGCAATTCATCATCTAAGCATAGAATTTTACCTCTAGAAAAAAAAAAAGTGGAAGTACTTAGATCACATAGACTCCAATAGAAATAGGATGTCCATCTAATAATAGGAAAAAAAAAGTGTGAATTCATCCTGAGGATAAATGGGTACAGCTCTACTGAAGCAAGTGGTCTTTTTATATAAGTGGAGTTGCACATGTTTTCTCCAGGGATCGGTTCAGTCCACTTTGCCTTTGTAGTCCACACTGAAATTCTTCAAGATAGGAAAAACTTGCAGAGTATTTGCATGTACTAAGTGCCTGGCATAGATCAGAGTCTTTATTTTTCACTTTTGCTAGCAGTACAATAATTTAAAATTAAAGAAAAAATAAAACAAGTAATTAATCCTGTATGAATGTTCAAACATTCTGTTACTAAGAGTTATTTTCTCCCCCTAGACCTTGGACTTCCTCTGTGTATGATCCAAGAAGGCAAGTAAAAGTCCTTTCCAGGAAAATACAATTTTCAAGTACCCTGATTGTGCTATGATACTCGCTCTACCTGAATCTTTTTAGATAACAGGCATCATGCTGTCTTTGGTTTATTTATCTCTGATCGAAGAGCAAGGGAACATAGAAGTGGCAGTCAAGGAATATATTAGGGGTATGTACGCATTTTGTGATAGTAAGATCAAGCAGAACTTGTGAGAAGGAGAATTTTCTTCATCTTGAAATTCAGCTGTGTTCCTAGTAAGATCCACCCTCACAAAGGAAAAAGAACAATCTGGAAAAAACTCTCTCCCCCACCCCCTTGAAAGGACAGTCCGATCTTCTTTTTAAGATGTGGATTGGGACTCTGGTTATTTTTCCATGGTCTTTTGCAGGCCAGACTAAGATCATCCTGTCATCAAACCAAGCTGGCTAGCAACCAGCCAGCTCCAATCCTAAATCCGTGCAGCTCTATTAGCGTGGTGCTGTGTCCACTCTTAAAATCTTCCAAGAGTCCCTAAGCCTTGTTTGCAAAAAAATTGGATAGATATTCCTCAAAAGACCACAGTTCAATATCCAGCACTGGCACCATTTCACCGTGAGACCCTGGAAAAAGTGCTCCGAGCCAGATTTTTAAACATGCAGAGCCATCCCAGAGCCCACTGTTAAAATGCTACTGATCTTTTAAAAGTCGCTGCTCAGTTGCAATCCCTGTTTTTGCCAGAGGGCATATATAAAGCCACTCAAACTTTGACACCGCCTGACAGGGAGGCTGTGAATGAACTTGTGCATTAACCCCCGAGTACAGGCACTCTGGTTTTGACACAGTGGAAATTTAATTATTTACACAAACCAACATGGCACTTTTAGGGAGGATCAGTCAACCCTGGGATACCCGGTGCCTCAGTGGCTGGGATATTTCCTCAGCTGTAAAAAGCATGTCCTCCAGACTCTAGTCCCAATTTGATAGAAAAAATAAAATAAAATCTTTAACTACTCTGATGACTACTTTGGTGAAAAGCTAGTTCCTGGTGAGAGGCTGGTTGCTTTCTGTCCATCTTCTCACAGATGGGACGCACAAAATTCAACTGCTACCTATAGGGAGAACGCTGATGAGGAAAGACGTCTTGCCCGGTTTGAGGGAAGTCCCTGGTTTTAGGTTTACTTGTATAATCTCAAGATGCTGCCTCCACAGTTCAGCTGTTCAGGTCCTCCTTAATCCACAGTGGTGGGGAGCACGGGCACTACCGCAGGGAGACGGTGTCCCTGTGCAGAGGGGCCTCATGCTTCCAGCCTCAACCCCTGAACACTGCAATACCTGAATTCTTTAGGGCATACAGCCATGATGTTCTCGCTCTTGTTTCCTAATAAGGAAAAAAAACCATTTTCATTCTCTAACCTCTTGCTTGAGTTATCTGCTTACAGTGAAGACCTTTGCTGTGTTGCTACTACATTCAGGCCAGAAAATAATCACAAAACTGATCTTGACAGTGCCCTATGCTGCAGAGGGGAACAGCTCTCCTTCGTCCTTGTTGAAGGGGAGAGAAAGGGAATGAGACTTCATGCAGACATGCAAGTGATGGTTGATCCCATTAGAGACTATATGGAGAAGCCTCCGTGGGCTGCAGGATACCTTTGAGAACACCGCGGCTCTAACCACTGCCTAAGCTCTGAACTCTTTCTGACTGAAAATACTCCTGGACAGAGCTCTATATTGTTAGAAGAACAAAGGCTTTCACCATCCAACCATAGTTCCTTCTACCTCCTCCCACTGTACAGTTCTCTTCTTGAGATTTTTTTTTTTTCCAGAATGGCTTTCTAAACCTGATGCTTTAAATCCAAACCATGTGGCCCAGTTCCTTTGGCGAACCATATTTGTTGTATTGGTGCTTGCTACTTCTTTCTTTTCCTTCTTCCTCTTCTTTCTTCCAGGTTTCTCAAATGGTGGGTCAGCTTCACTTGTGTTTAACATTCTGAAAGCAACTATAAGGGGTTATGAGGCCAAAAGGGATAAAGAAACATGGTGAATTCTGCCATGATTTATATAAAAATCTGTGTAAGAGAGAAGGACAGAATCTGTTTTACATAGGCAGGTAAGTAACGGTACATGGAAACCCCAACTTCCAAATTATTTTTAAATGAGATCTAAGAAGACTATTTCTGAAAAATCTGCCTTTTTTTACCCTAACTTGTTAATTAGCATTAATTAAATTCTGGCTTTCCTCATGTGGGAAGATTGAAGGTGAAGGTACAAGAGCAATTCAGTTAACTTCTTGCAGTGGGCTGGCCTTGGCTGGACAAGGTGGGTGCCCACCAAGCTGCTCTATCATTCCCCTCCTCAGCAGGACGGGGCGGCAGGGGGGGAAGTAAGATGGAAAAAACTCATGGGTCAAGACGAAGGCAGTTTAATAAAAGCAAAAGCAAAGGCCGTGCGCGTAAGCAAAGGAAAAACGAAGATTTCTTCTCTATTTCCCATCAGCAGGCAATGTGCAGCCATTTCCCAGGAAGCAGGGCTTCAGTACACATAGTGGTTGCTCTGGAAGACAAATGTCATAATAACGAATGTCCCCTCTTCCTCCTCCTTTCTCTTAGTTTGTACTGCTGAGTGGATGTCGTGGTATGAAATATCCCTTTGGTCATTTTGGGTCAGCTGTCCTGGCTGTGTTGCCTCCTCAGATCTTGCCCACCCCCAGCCTACTGGTATGGGGGGAATGTTGGAGGGACAGCCTTGATGCTGTCCTGTAGTAGCCAAAACACCGGTGTGTTATCAACCCCCTTCTAGCTACCGACACAAAGCACAGCACTATGAGGGCTGCTATGGGGAAAATTAACTCCATCTCAGCCAGACCAAATACACTTCTTGTGTATCATCATGCAAAAGTACCTCTGAAGAGGGCTGCAGTCAGCTCAAAAGAGGCATGCACTTGAGATCTCACAGGGCATGCTTCCAAATTGTATTACAAGCTGGGTCTGAATTTTGTCCCGATTCTAAGACAGGAAGACCAACAAGACAGAGTCATTTGCAAGAGATATTGGACATAGAATGTCATTCAGAAATACTTATCTGATCCCTTCATGCTTCTTTAACAATAGATACACATGGTCCTCAAGGCGTTGAAGAAGCCTGTGAAATGACCTGGTTTTGTGGGAGAAAGGAAATGCTACAATTTGACTTTTCTTCCCCAAGGTGGCTGTTGTCCCTTCCAAAGAACTAGATATTCCACAGTGAATAGCAGGGGGGCTACATATATTACAGGGAGGGTGGGTGGGATGCAGAAGCAGCCAAATTTTTGCTTCAGCATCACCTGGAAAGCAACTGTGAAATGAGAAACAAAGACTGTGGCTGGCCACACCTTGGGAGGGTGGCAGCACCCACAGAATCTGTGGCAAGCTCCAGCTCTCCCTCCTCCCTGCCCTCGTACCAGTGCAGAGAACTGCTTGCCTGGCTTCCCCCGGCTCGCTGCAGCTCCAATATTGTAATTCTGCTGCAGTCGTGCATGCCATCTGAATTCATTTGTCATATTCTATGAACTAGAATCCATCAAAGCGTATTCACTGGCCTTTTAATTAGTGTTAGATTAGCATTTTAAGATATGGGTAAATTCCCAAGTCTAACTTTGTTTAAAGGTGCATATTCAATACAGTAGCCAGGAAATCATGTATTCTCATGTACTTATTACCTTAGTAATGTAATGCTGTGAGAGAAAAAGGCAGATAATACTTCCAACAAATATTAAATGTTATTTGTATAGCTACTGTCTGTGAATTTAAACAGAAAATCATTCCTCACGCCTTGCCATGAAACACACACAAATTTCTTTTGTGGCTTTCATGTTTCATTAAA